ATCCCCCCTCCATGTTGTTCCCCTGGTGGCCAGACAGAGCAGGCCATGACTGCGCCCCCCCCACACCTGTTCCCTTCTGCCTTGTCGGCTCTTCCGTGGTGGCGTGGGTTATTCTGTCACATGTAATGCTGCTCCGTGGGTCCGTGACGCCTGTCATGGTACTCAGTTCGCATCCAGGGGTTGTGGGTCAAGCCCCCTTGCTGTTGGACTCTGCCCCTCACAGCCAAGTTGCACCCTCTCCCCACTAAGCCCCACCTCCTCCCTCCAGGCCCTGTCCCTAGCTGCTAGGCCCCGCCTCCTCACCACTGGGCTCCATACCCTCTCCGCCAGACCCCGCCCCTCACCATCAGGCCCCGCCTCCTCACCACTGGGCTCCATACCCTCTCCGCCAGACCCTGCCCCTCACCATCAGGCCCCGCCTCCTTACCACTGGGCTCCATACCCTCTCCGCCAGACCCCGCCCCTCACCATCAGGCCCCGCCTCCTCACCACTGGGCTCCATACCCTCTCCGCCAGACCCCGCCCCTCACCATCAGGCTCTGCCCCCTCACTGCTGGGTTCTGTTCCTTTGCAGCCTCCATGAATCAATCAACTATGCAGATGAATCTCACATGTGCAGCAAAGAGTGATATCGGTGCAATTGGGGTGAGCGGCATCGTCGGCAGGCGGAAAATTGAAAATCAAAATAAATCCTGAGGTTTGGAGTTTTGCCATGGGGGCGGCACTGTGCACGTGTGTGTGTCGGTGCGTGTGTATCTGTGTATTTGGGTGCGTGCGTGTGTATGTGTGTGGGTATGTATATTTGTGTGCATGTTTGCGTGTGTGTCTGTGGGAGTGTGTGTGTGTGTGTGTCTGTGTGTGTGTGTGTGTGTATCTGTGTATTTTGGTGCGTGCGTGTGTATGCGTGTGCGTATGTGGGAGTGTGTTGGTGCGTGTGTGTCTCTGCATTTGGATGCGTGCATGTGTATGCGTGTGTGTCTGTATATTTGTGTGCGTGTGTGTGTGTGTGGGAGTGTGTGTGTGTGTGTCTGTATATTTGTGTGCGTGTGTGTGTGTGTGGGAGTGTGTGTGTGTGTGTGTGGGAGTGTGTGTGTGTGTGTCTGTGGGAGTGTGTGTGTGTGTCTGTGGGAGTGTGTGTGTGTGTGCCGCATTATCTCATTAAAGGAGAATTCTCTCCCAAAATCAGATAATTAAAATAATGAATTAGGTAGAATGAGGAAGAGTTCCGGCTCCCGTTACATTTTCCACATCATTAGACAGTAAGTTTGTGGCGTCAGACTCCCCTGAGCTGCTCCATGGCGCCTCTTTGTCATCAGGCTGCTGCCGTCGGAGGGGAGTCGGGGTTAGGATCACACACCATTCTGTGAGCTCTCCCCTGGGAGACAGGCAGGGGGCGCTGTGTCAGGGGTGGCCACGCAGGTCCTTTATTCTCCTGTTAAAATGACCTCAGTATCCTGTCTGCCCCCCCCCACCCCACCCCCACCCGCAGCTTCCACGGTAACCGTGACTCAAGTGTCTGCAGTGACCAGTGACACGGCTGGCTCCTCCTACTCCATCAGTGGCATTCTGGGAATCAGCTCGGCCGCCGAGGCCAGCAAGCGCAAACGGGAGGAAGGTAGGAGGGGCTCGTTTCTGCGTGTTTGGGTTTCGCTGGCAGGATGAGGAAGCCGAAAATGGAAGGGCGTACGTGCGCGTGTGTGCGAGCCACCAGCCGTAGGCGTGTTCGCGCGGCGAGAGGCGTGCAATGGCGGAAAAAGAGAACGGTGTAAACCCGCGGGGACCCTCGCCTCCGATCCGGCTGCGGCGTGCTGCCAAACCTCAGCAGCAGTACGGTGTGAGATCTGACTCAGCTGTCAGCCATCAGCCAGCCGTACCCTCTACCTTTACTAGACAACAAAAAGGAGCATAAATATCCCAGCTACCTTAATTACCCCTTTCAATGTGAAGTAATACAGGATGATAAATGATTTTTCAAGGGAGGTGAGACAAAAAATAGGCTACCTGAACCCCCCCTAAACAGGGACTAGAATGACTCAGTCTGTAAAAGACTAACTGAACCACGTATTTTATGAAATGATCAGCTTGCCTCAGTCTTACAGTGCTACTTTCCCACCAGACCATGGAATATTCACACGTATGACTCTTAAACTGCCTCATCTTTCTGTGTGTATCTCTCCATCTCTCCATCTCTCCATCTTCTAATCTCTTGTCCCCATTTATAATTAAAATGACCTTGAGGCCATTTACCTGTTTATTAATACTGGAGCAGTGAAGGCCGATGTCTGGAATTATCCAGCGGGATCCCAGAATGTTCGCCGGCCAATCGGGACGCGGGGTCAGACGTTCTCTTTCATCGTTTATTTTAATAATGGAACAGTGCCGGAATGGGTGATTTGCGATATTGATGGCACCTTGGATACGGCGTTTGGCTAGCGGGCGCTAAACACGCGGCCTTATGACGCCCATGCAGGCCGGGGAATCTGCCCCTTTAGATGTATTGCTAAGTGCGGTAAATAGGCTCGGGGCTGGGAGCAGCCAGGCAGCGGAGCGCGTGTTTGTTGGGCTGCAGATCTATTAGGCCTCTATCGAGATGGGGGGGCATGGAGCCATCGTTAGTCCTGGGCTGTCAGCGAGGCATATTTACAGTAAATGAGCCACCCCTCCTCAGTGTTTGCATAAGGGCACATATGACACCGGCTCAATTATGCCCCTGGATCCATTAATCACGCTGGAGTCGGGCTCATTTAGGTGGAGCTTCCGACCGGGACGCCGTGCCACAGCTACCCCTCCCTGCACTACCTCCCGTCCCTCCCTGCTGGCCATTAGAGCGCCCCCATGTGGTCATTTGTAGCCAGATTTCTGAAGTCCCTAACCCACCTCCGCGTGGGAACACTGGGCCCACGTGTCTGAGATATCCTCAATGACACACCTCGTGTGACACCCCCCCCCCCCCCCCCGCTTCCTGAGCCACCCCCCTCCCCCTGGATGGGGCTCTGCTGGATGGCCATTAACCGGGGGCCGCGGGCGGGGGTGCGCAGAGCTCATGTAGAGTCGGCCCAACCAAAACAAACATGTTCATCTTGGGGGTGGGCATTAAAAAGCCATTGTGCAGGGAGACCCCCACCGTAAATGGGCCTGGAGCAGATGTCAGGGTGGTGGAAGGAGGCGCCCATCCAACGCGGCCCCTCCAGTCAGTCCTCCCCCCCGCAGACAGACCACGCTGTCCTGCGTCCTTCGTCAACAGCCATGGTGGCACAGACCCCAGTCCTTACTCTGTAGCCCCGCTGTGGCGTCCTGGAGAACTGGGGGGAAGACTGGAACTAATCAAAACAAATTACCTCAGTCACCTGACTCTGCCCCCCCTCAGACAGCTGGAGGCCACGCCCCCATCTCTTCTCATAGGCTCAGGATATTTCAGAATTCTAAAGAACAATGTTCGTTGCCGTCGGCGATGGTTGCTGCGGTAACTTAACAGGAATGGCTAAGAAGCCTCACAGATGCCCCTGTAGACGGTTCTGAGAGTGCCAGGATGCTTGCGATCACTTCCATGTCCTCATCTATCCGACCGCAGGCCTCTCCATCGCCAGTCCGGCAGGGACGAGGTCCGCGCGGTTAATCTTGTTAAGCGTGGCGTTAATTACAGTGCAATTAGTGGGGGCTTGCCGGCTTAATTGACGCTACATGCTGTTGGCATCAGCGCCGTGATGAAGCGGGGCATCCCTAAATGGATTTTTAATGTCCGGACTGTCGCCCAGCGCTGCTGCATGGCTGTGGCTCACCGGTGCCGGAGGAGAGGACTGAGCGGGAAGCTCCATCAGGAACAAGCAGGTGGATTTTATTTGACTGGGTTGATGCTGGTGAAGCTTCTGTCTGCAAAAGGGCTTCATGAAGGTTTCTGCTAAAAGGAGTTTTTCACTGCAGCAGTTTTTCACTGGTGTTTCTGCTGCCCTTCAAAAAACAACAAGACACCAAGGCACAAACGGGGCATAACTGCTCCAAGGCTCTTTTTCAAGGGCAATGGCTGTCCTCTGCCCCCCCCCCCCTCCCAGTGACAAAGGTTTCCATAACTTGTTAGTAGATGTCAGCCAGTTACTAGGTAGACTGAGGCTGTTCCAGTTTGTGCTTGTTTTCATCCATACTGTGTAAAAACATGAGGTACGTGTTTTATGAATCCGTCCGCTGTCCATATCCGATTTCCCCTAGGCCTTAAAACACACCAACCGGGGGGGGGGGGGGGGTCTGTATGGTAGGCTGGTCCATCGCAGAACGCATGACTGAGTGCAGTCACACACACATACAGAAACACACAAACACATACAGAAACACACAGACATACAGAAACACACAGACATGCAGAAACACACAGACACATACAGAAACACACAGACACATACAGAAACACACAGACATGCAGAAACACACAGACACATACAGAAACACACAGACACATGCAGAAACACACAGACACATGCAGAAACACACAGACACATGCAGAAACACACAGACACATACAGAAACACACAGACACATGCAGAAACACACAGACACACACACGTTTGTATCCATGCCTTTGTGGGGACCATCCATTAATTTCTATGGGCATAACTCTGATCACAACATGACAACCTTAACCTACCCAGCCCTAACCTTAACCACAAGTAACCAAACATTTTTAGTTTTTATAAAATTGAGCTTTCCCCTGTGGGGACCAACAAATTGTTCACTCCAACATCAAAATAATGGGTATAGTGACTGATGTCTGGGTTGTAGTGTAGTGATTGATGCCTGGGTTATAGTATAGTGGTAGACATTTTGGTTCTAGTATTGTGATTGATGCCTGGGTTGTAGTGTAGTGGCTGGTACCTGGGTTGTAGTATAGTGGTAGACATCTGGGTTGTAGTATAGTGACTGATGTCTGGGTTGTAGTATGGGGATCGATGTCTGGGTTGTAGTGTAGTGGCTGGTACCTGGGTTGTAGTATAGTGGTAGACATCTGGGTTGTAGTATAGTGATTGATGTCTGGGTTGTAGTGTAGTGACTGCTGTCTCAGTTTTAGTATGGTGACTGATGTCTGGGTTGTAGTGTAATAACTGGTGCCTGGGTTGTAGTATACAACATAGTGACTGATGTCTGAATTATAGTGTAACGATCATATATGGTTTAAAGCCTTATGACAAAAGTGCAGAGAAATCTCCTAAAAGTTACTTGTCTTAAAAATGGGGATCTGAGTCTAGTGACATAATCATAACAAGCAATCATTTTCAGTACACATGTGTGGATCATTGTTTATGTGTAGTGGCGACTCTAACTTTGGTTAATGATGACTGGCTGAAACCATCTGAAGATGAAGATGCTATGAGAGCAAAGCATCTCCTGCACATGGAGGTGCCACATATATCAGGGCTGATATAGGGGAGGGGGTTCTGGGGGGGGGGGTCGGCAACAGGCACAAATCATACAGGTTACTGGATGCTTTAATGTGCCTTTTGTAACATAATAAAGCAGAATTTGTAATGGCACAAATTTCCCTTTGCCATTAATTTTCTTATTTCTCTCTCTGTGCAATTTGTAAAAACACAAAGGAGCTGAATTCATAACAACTTCCGGCATAGCCGCTTTCTTCATAAACCATTCGATGGCAAAACGGTGAACATACCCAAAGATTTACTCGGAAATTGGGAAGAAAAAAATGTGGATTGATTTACATGCGAATTTATTTTACGCGTCCCTGTAAGAATGGGGGCAGCCGGAAGGGGCATCCTACACGTCGGGGAGGAACATCTGGCTTACCATGGTATTGCTGGGCAGCCCTGGGTGCTTCTGTGCTGCTTAGATTTGCTAGACTGAGTCATACGGATGCGAGGGCTGGTACTGTACTATGTATTAAAATAATGTTTGAGTAAATCTCGGTGGGAAATAACATCCTCTCACTCACGTGCTCCTGCAGCATGAATTCACTATGTATTCCGGGAAACCTGTTGTGATAATAATAATAATAATAATAATAATAATAATAATGATGTATAATATATATAATATGTTAATGATGTAAAAAGCCGGAAACTCCGCTTTAGAGGCGTATAGAGGCACCAGCTCACGCGTTTCTGAGGCCGAGGCTTCAAGAAAAAAACAAAAGGCAGGAGAATCCTTGATTCCATTCATCAAAATCCTTCTCCAAACTCTCTCTGTCAGGCACCCGGTCTCCCGCCGTGCATCGCAGGCGTGAACACTCCACAATTTATTCCCTTTTAATTAGCATAACTTAGCCCTCGTCAACGGGACACGCGACATGTGATTAAAAACCTCCCGGTTAAACGCGGAGGTGGTCAAAGCCGAGGGAGTTTTTGCGTCCGCCGTGAGAGAGGCTTGTAAAACCCGCGTCTCGTCGCATTATCTGCTGCAGTGTTTATTTTTGGGGCTGCTGGCGTGATGCTTTGCTTTTCAGGGCCTCTTTCGGTGCTAACAGGAAACATCGGGGGATATCATGCCAGTATGGTAATACATGGTAATACATGGTAATACATGGTAATACTGCTTGTTTCCTGATTTTCTCCAGATCCGTTAATGTTAGCAGTCCTGTAGGGAAGTTTGATTCCATGTTTCATCAGTGGGGGGGTGGGGTACTGCTCCTTTTATGGCGGTGGGGGGCTGTTTCTGTATTTTTGGACCAAATAGTAAAGTTCTTGGCGTAGTCCTGTGATTCAAGTATGGATTGGCAGGCAGAGGGCTGGGTTTGGGTGGGGGGGTGGGGGGGGTCAATGGCAGCTGTGTGGTAGGCGGGTTGGGGGGTGTTCAGGGGAAAGGCCCCACACGACCTGCAGTGACCCCGGCCGGCCAGGGGGAAGTGGCCTGAATGGGCAGAGCTTGTGCTGGGTACAGACACAGAGGCTATTGTGTCCCTGTCTGTCTCCTGCCTAAAGACCAGCTTCCAGGGAGGGGCCTTTGACAGAGGGGGGAGGGGCCTTTGACGGAGGGGGGAGGGGCGGCGACCTCCCCAAGCCGGAGCCTACCAGGCAGCGCTGCCCCCTGTAGTGCTGCGCCTTACGCTCAGTCGTGGGGACCCCGTACTCGGATCTGGTGGGGGGGGGGGGGCATTTTTGGAAATGTAACCAATGCGTCCTGTGTTTTCATCCCCTGTACCCCTCACTTCCTTTCTGACTTTTTGCCCCCTCTCACCCCCCTGAGAGGCTTAGCTTGAGTCAGTGGGGGGGAATCGGGGGCACTGGGGGGGGAGCCCTTTCTCCGGCCCGCGGCCCCCTCGGCGCCCCGGGCTTTGATCTCGCTGGGAGCGGTGGCCCCTGGAAGGCGCTCACCCGCGGCCGTGGGCCGTCACAGAAGCCCTGAGACCCCCCCCCCCAACTCACTATGCTAATCTGCGCCTAGCAAGGAGGGGGCCACCGCCTGCATCCGCCCTCTCTGCACCTCCAGCTGACGGACTTGTTGGGGTCCTGCCCCCCCCCCAAAAGGCTTTCATTTTCAGAATAGACAATGAAATGGAGAAGGGGGTGAGGAAAGGGCCAGAGCAATATGGCTTCATTGTTTTTTTTTGTCTCGTACATAAAGGAAAGACAGCGAGCCGGCGAGACTTTCCTGAGCTGCCGGTCGCCCGACCTCCTGGTCCTGAGCGCTCGGCGGCCATCGTTTATTCACGCCGCTGTCCGCAGGCGGTCAGGAAGGACTCCACTGGGGTGAGGCGAGGGAACGTTTGACTGGAACTCCATGCTGGGATGGCAGGGGGTGTCCTCACTGCCCCTGGGGAGGGCGGCGGACGTGTTTAAGACACCTTCCGCGCATGTGGTTAGGGGGACCTCTGATGGACACTCAGACCCGTGTTAATTCCCGTTACGCACTCAGGTTCTGGAAACAGCTGCCCCCCCCCCCCCCGATCCGTCTGTCATGGCTGAGCGCTCAGCGTGACCAGTGGAGAATAACATTTCACAGCCGTGCCGGGGCCCGGACGCCCGGGAACACGCTCTGACGCTTGGGGGGCACGTTACGCGGCGCCGGCGTGCGACCTCGGTGGATGTGACTCTCTGTGATCGGCCTCGACCTCACAGCCGACCTGGATGCTCATCATCGGGGTGCGAGATCCGCAAGGAGGTCTGGGACTGAAACACATGTCAGTCCGGGAACAATTATTTAGATTTTCATACAGTGTTTTTTCCTCCAGTTCGCCAGGAGAACAACGTAAGATAATAATTAATCAAAATAGGTCACCGTCAGGTGAAGCGCCAAAAGAAAGATTGATTGGCGCTACTTTATTGATCCCTAAGGGGAAATTGTCTTTTTTGCCCAAGATTGAGAGACACAGACGTACAGTTGAGAGCAGGCTAAGGCTACGTCCAGCACCCCTGGAGCAGCTGGGATTAAGGGTCTTGCTCAAGAGCCCAACATCAGTATTACCTGGCTTCTGCTGAAGCATGGGCTTCATCTGCATGGGGGGGGGGGGATATTCGGGTGTGAGGCTTTAAACAGTCTGTCTTAACAATATGGGCTTGCTTACTTCCTGTTTACAATATGGGCTTGTTTACTTCCTGTTTACAATATGGGCTTGCTTACTTCCTGTTTACAATATGGGCTTGCTTACTTCCTGTTAACAATATGGGCTTGCTTACTTCCTGTTAACAATATGGGCTTGCTTACCTCCTGTTAACAATATGGGCTTGCTTACTTCCTGTTTACAATATGGGCTTGCTTACTTCTTGTTTACAATAACAAAAGAACCTTCTCAGCCTTGGGGCGAGCTATGCTTGTGATTGGCTGAGCCAGGCCCCTCCCCCCATATATCAAGACCCGGCTTGAGCTGTTGGGATGTGGCAGCATCATCGGGTTGCACCTCGCTTTGGTCACATGACTTAGTAGCAAGTGTTCCCCTCTTAAAGTGACAAGAGATATCCTCAGTGTTGGTCAGTCAGGGGGACGGTGATTTATGCTTATGATGTGTGATGTCGGACTGGTTAATCAGCAGGTCCAATCAGAGAGCTCCTCTCATATACAGGTTACTCATATACAGTTACAGGTAACTGCTATGTTTTCTGCTCTCTTACAGCATGAGAGTTGGCAAGATGGGCGCGTTGTCGCGTCATTCTCTGAATCCATGCTACGATTCCCTCCCTCAGGCCACCCCCCC